GAAAGTGGTTGACCCGAGTCTCCATGCTTTTCCGTCTGAGTCTCTCCTGCCATTTCTTGCGAAAATTTTCTCTCTCTAAAGGGGTAGCATCCTTCTTAACAAAGACTGAATTAAACTCTGGGAATTCACTTAGTTTTCTCGCAGCCTTAAGCACATTTCCGACCTGGGCTGTATCCTGCACAGTTACAAGCAGCGGTCTACAGGTGGTAGTGTATTATATATTAATATTAATATAAAAAATATTAATAGCAAGAAATTAAGAAATGATGCTTTATAAGTAATTTAGGAGAAGCAACAAATTCAAATTCATACAGTTTACTAACGTTTAACATGGGTTCGCCATTAAGATGGTACATGCATGGAGACAATATAGGTTCGACTTCTTGAAAGGTAACCGATTACAGCTGATATAGATGGCAGCCTATAAATTAAGGTACATTTGAGTGAAAAAATGAGAGGTTATTTAATAGTTTATTATGCAAAAACAATATAATAATACAGTTGTTAGCAATTGGACGGGAGATGATTCATTTGGAGCGGAGATCGAAATTTCACGAACTGATATTAAAAATGAATAAAATCCCACAGCTTATGTTGATTATTATTATGATGGTTCGGAGGGCGAGCATGAGTATTGGTTGTCTACGAAGATGGTTGACTAAAAGGGACCCAAGACAAGTGCGGGGATAGTGGGATGTAATATATATTTATATAAACTATTTCGCATTGTAAAATCCCTATTTTTGTACCGATAACCAAGGCGACAATGAACTGAGGCAGGAGTTTTGACCTGTTAAATAATTGAACAGCACAGGGCATGAGAATTGCTGAGAGAAAGAGAGGTATGGTTTGGGACTTGCATCAATTAGTCCGCATGAAGAAATCCCTACTTTTATTTGATAAGCAAGGTGATAAGGTATCGTGTAGAACGATGTTCTGACATGTTAAATAATTGATCAGCATAGGGCAAGGGAAGTGCTAAGTAACAGTACAGTAATTTGTCAGAATGGAGAAATCCCTATTTCTGTTCTGATAACACAGGAGATAATGAACTGAGACAGTTGTTCTGACCTTTTAGGTAGTTAATGTGCACAGGGCATGAGAAGTGCTGGGCCAGAGGCTCGGTGTGGCGATGGTAGCGCTGAACCCGCACCTCCAGCACGGCGCCCGCCTCAGGCATCACAGTCAAGTTGAGGCGGGGGAATACCGTGGCGCCACCTACCGCGTCATTCAGCTGCGAGGATGTGGAACAAACTACTGAGTTTAACACGTTGAGTGCAGCACGACCCACCGGTGGTTTGCAGGGTCTTTTTTCCGGACGAATTCCGCGATTTAGTTTTTTTAGTTGCGTTGGCCGGCAGAAATTTATGGTGATGATACTTTCTAATTAAATTCTAAACGGTTAAAAAAAATTAAATTGAAATTTGCGCCGGAACCTACAAATTTACTGGTAAATATTGACTTACAAGTCTTTTTTGTACGCGGACTCAACCGCTTTTAGGCCATCTGGTAACCCTGGGGGGTCGTGCCGCATTCAACGTATAAACACGGATAATCTGAGATCTTTAGCTAGGATTTAACATTGATTCAAGTGGAAAAATATATAGCCTAATAGTTGCGGTAAAGGGGAAAAGAAATGGATGAAGCCTTTTAAACAAACCTTGATGGGGAAAGGCTTCAGATCGATAAAAAATTACATTAATTTAAAAAAACCTACATTATATTTAGAACCAACCTTGAGCTAAATTTCAAATGAAAACGCTTAATAGATCATCTCGCGTTGGCA